TTAGCCCAAGAGACAGAAAGGGCCACATAAACCAGAGACTCCATCAGCCTGAGACCAGAAGAACTAGATGGTGCCCAGCTACCACCAATGACCACCCTGACAGGGAATACAACATAGAGTCCCTGACAGAGCAGGAGAAAGCAGCGTACAGAACTCAAATTCTAGTAAAAAGACCAGACTTAGTGGTCTGACTGAGACTGGAGGGACCCTGGAAGACATGGCCCCAGACTGTTAGCCCAGAACTGAAACCATTCCTGAAGCCAACTCTTCAGACATAGACTAGACTAGACTATAAGACATAAAATGATACTCGTGAAGAGAGTGCTTGTTAGCTCAAGTAGATACATGAGACTAAATGGGCAACTCCTGTCCAGAGGCAAGATGAGAAGGCAAAAAGGAATAGGAGCTGGCTGAATAGACACAGGAAATCCAGGGTGGAAAGCAGGAGTGTGCTGTCACATAACAGGGATAGCAACTAGGGTCACACAATAATTTGTATACAAATTTTTGTATGAGAAACTAACTTGAACTGAAAACTTTCACTTACAGTACAATTTAAAAAATAATGACTATCGCATGTAAGTACTGTGCTTCTTTATAAAAAATCACCTATATAAGACCAAATGGTCAATAATTACTTTAAAACAAAGATGAGAACGTAATGGGGCAGGGAAACCAGAGTAATGGAAACGGAACAACCAGTACAGAAATAATGAGAAATGTTCACACACTGTTAAGAATGTAACCAATGGCACTGAACAACTTGTATAGAAATTGAATGGAAACCTAAACTGCTATGTAAACCTTCACCGAAACCACAATAAAATATTATAAAAGAAAAATAGTGGAGAGACACAAATCAGAAATATGATCTGAGCTGAAGGCCCTTTCTCTAGAGATTTACATTCCACTCCTGAACACAAATTTTGCTTCTTAATGGTTGTGCAAGAAGATCCAGGACTAAAGGTCACGAGTTCTACACTTTACTCTTCAGAAAAGCCTTATGAAAAAGGAAAAAGAAATCCATCCCATAAACATACCTGGAGGTCCCATTGGGCATCTCGGGCAGTTTTGCCCTCAGGAAAAGACTTGTTCTGGCCATAGTCGTATATCTGGTTTCCTGGCAGCCTGTGATCCACATCACGGTACTCCATGCTTCTGTAATCAGTGTCTTGCCGGCCAAGAAAGTCCAGACCACTTTCTTCTTTAAACAGACCAGCATCTGAACTCTGTTGTTCACCTCCAGAAAGCTGTGACATGTCTTGATCTTGAAGTGGACTTTGGCTGTTCTGAAAGTCTGATGGCGACTCATGTTCAAAGGCTGCACCTTGTGTTTCTCCTTCTCTTGTTTCTGAATGCTCAAATTCTCCCTTCTGAATGCCAAAAGCAGGCCTTTCTGTTGTATGGTCATGTGTGGATTCTTCTCTCTTGTTCACATTCATACCAGAATGTTCTCTATCTTGTGTAGAGGGCTGAATGTAATCCAAAATATTTGGATCCACAGGGGGCATCTCCCTATCTTTAAATTCCATACAAGATCCCACCTCTCTGCCCCTAAAATCTTGATCAGTCCTGGACCGATGCCTACCTCTGAAATCTGAACGTGGGGTATCCCTGTCCCTAAAGTCTAGATCAGTAGGACCTGAACCTCGGCCTCTAAAGTCCACCTGTGTTCCTTCTTTGTCCCTGAAGTCCAAATCAGATACATCTCTATTCCTAAAATCCGAACGGGACTGATCTCTGGCCCTGAAATCCAAATCTGATAAATCCCTTCCCCTAAAATCTGCATGGGATCCATCCCGGCCTCTAAAATCTAAATCATAAGCACCCCGACCCCTGAAGTCAGAAGGAGCATCCCTACCTCTGAAATCAACAGTGTGAGCATCCCTGTCTCTGTAGTTCATGTGAGACATCTCCCTACTTCTATAATCCATAGAAGTACTATCCCCACCCCTATAGTCCATAGGTGGTCCTTCTCTATCCCGAAAATCCCCAGCATGTATGTCCCTACCCCTGAAGTCCAACTGTGATGAATCCCTGCTCTGGAAATCAGAAGATGAAAAATCTCCCCCCCTAAAATCACGTCCAGGTCCCTCCCCTCCTCGATAGTCACCATGCAGTCCGTCTCTAGCTCCATAGCTGAAAGAATGTTCCTCTACATTTGCAAAGGGAGTTCCTGAATGCCCCTGGAAATCAAAGGGAAGTGAATCTCTGCCAGGAAAGTTGCCAGAGTGTCTCTCTTGAGCATGACTCTTAAGGGGAGGAGGAGGATAATCCCTGTTCCACCCGGGAGCAAACCTTTCTTCTTGGCTCCCACTGTAGAAACAAAGACAGTGTTACTCATATTGTCCAGAGAGTTTGAAATCTACACACCAGCATATTCTTCTCTAATCACAGCACATTCTTCTGTAAACATTTTTTTTTTTTTTTGGCAGAGTTCTGTAACAAGGTCCTAGATCTGCAGAAAACAGCAATGTTTTGCTATTTTAAGACGAAGTGGCGGAGTAAACGTTTATGCTCCCATTTCAGAACACGAGGAAAGTCAACACAAGGTTTTCAACATGACTGCTGCAGAAAAAGCTTTCACCCAGTCCTGCAACAGGGAAAATCCGCAACACCAGATAAGCTAGCAATGGTGACACGCTACAAAAATTTTCATTTCCTACAGTCAGGGAACTTGGAATTCCAAGGTCAACATGATGATTCCTATGCATCAGAAAAATCAATGCACTATAAATTTGTTACCGGAAGTTTCAGGAGGTGTCGTTCTCATTGCTGCATCCAAGGGTGACATTAAAAAATATTTGATTACAGCTACAGCACAGACATCACCCAACCAGGATGGGTGCAGGCCCAAAACAAAGAAACACTGGCTGTAAATCAGCAGTAGGAGCACACCAGTATTTACCAGCTGAGCATCAGCCCCGGCTGCATCTAAATCCCAGTTCTACAGTGGCTCTACCTAAACCACTCTCACCTGGGTCCTATTATTATATTCTATTATTATAACTACCCAAGGGTGTCATAGAAGACAGCATGAATTATGCCACAAAGCCATGCATAAGCCATCTAAGCCAAGCAACAGCATCTAGGAACTTAACGGTGAAAGGGACCTAGAGAGAGCATTAGGCCTTCAAGCATTATTCCCATGTCCCAAATGAAGCAGCTGATATTCCAGATTCCAATGCCACATGCTAATTTTTATGGTAATAAAATTTATCTAAAATAAGCATAGTATTAAATTCACATTACCAGTTTGGAGGACTCACAAGACAAGTAAGAGCTGGCCCAATCTTTCATACTACCCCACGTCTTCCCTTCACCTAACCTCAAGACCATTTTATATGTTTTGGTTTTGGTAAGAAATTAGGGAATTTAGGTATTTAGGTACATGGGATCCTGATTTGGGGCAGAGAATAAGGAAAATATGAGGAGTTCTGACGGGCTATCTGCTACTTAGCAGTAGAACAAAAAGTAACAGATCAAGTCCAACTAACTCAGTTCTCTCCTTCCAGAACATACCAGTTCTATTACACGACCCTTCTGAGCTCACTAAAGAAAGAATCAAAGGATTCTGGGTCACTCAACTCAAGAGCAACAGTTACAGGTGGGAATTTAACAACATTAACGTAAACACTAGAATGGTGTGCATTTAATAAATTTTCAGAACACGATGACTTCCACAGGCTCCCATTAACATTAGTTATGTCTATCTGCTTCATCATAACAGAAGTCAGCTTAAATGTTCTACATAAGTAATACAATTAAATCATTCAAATCCTAGTTAACTTGCAGAAAGACTTATGCCTCATCAGACACTTGTGGGATGAGTACTGAGGTACCTAAATCTAAATCTACATGTCTTCTGACCAGAACACAACCAACACTGCCTTTGAATACTGCCCCAAGGATTATCTTACCCTTTTAAATTGAGATCAAATAGATCTAGAGTAACATACTGTACTAGGGTTCTTGGAACTATATTTTATACAGACTACACAAAAAAAATTCTATTAATATAAAACAGCAGTGGCTATAAGAAGTCATTTTCAATTAAACAAAAACAAATTTAAGATGGAAAGTCATTCAAATGAAATACAAAATCATTTTCCTGCAAGATATATTTTGGCCAAATTAGTCTAAAAGAAAGAAATGCTGTATAAACTATGTCTCCCTTCTGGTCAAGGGTCTTACAAAATATAGCATCTAATGACTTAAACTAAAGTTGGGGATATACACTTTTAAATAATAAAATAGGATCAAAGTGAAAATAGAAAAAATATCATGCAATACAGCTAAATTAACCTAATTTCGGAATGCTTATATAAACCATCTTAAGTTAATTCTGCAAGAAACAGCCTCACTTTCAAAATAATTGTCCATAAATATAAGCAATAAGAGGACAGTTTACAATCTAAATGTTTAAAAAATGTTAAAGTCCACCAATCTACACCAGGGCTTGGCAAATATTTTCTGTAAACAGCCAAGAGTAAATATATTAGGCTTTCTAAGTTATACAGTCCCTGTAACAACTATTCAACTCTACCATTATAGCACAAAAGCAACCACAGACAATTTGTAAAAGAACGAGTGTGGTTGTGTTCCAATAAAACTTTATTTACAAAACCAGGCTGTGGGCCATAGTTTACTGACCACTGATCCAGACCTTAGTATTTTGAAAGGAAAAACATAGCCAGCATCACTGCCATAGCTTTAATTTAGAGATCACTGAGCAGAAAGTAAAGACCCCTATCATTTAGCATTTACAAAACATTAGCTTTACTAAACATAATATGGATTTTTTAAACTCAGTTCTCAAACTAAAATTTCGTATTAGAATACCAAGCTAAGAATACTGAATGAGAACATCTGTTGAATTCACACAATAAAATCTTGTGGACTGTCGATCCAAACGAAAATGCACTAGTAACAGAAGTTTCAATTGTAGCAATACTTCTGAATAACTTTAGAGGTCAGATTTATTTACACCAAGTAAAACTGTAAAAATCAGTCCTAACAGCACTTTATTAAATGTAAACACAACAAAAAAGCTTTAAAAATACTATCAGTGTATATTATATTAGCTATTTAAAAAATTAACTTCCTACAAATCTAAAAAACAATCCATTTACAACTGAATGCTACCACCTTCTCCACTCATCTTTGTATCCAGGAACCCTAAAACTGAAATGTACCTTAAAAAATTGCATCAAGTCATTCTTCCTTCTCAGAATTATTTGTAGTAGTTATGGTTTAACAACCTGCCATGGGCAAAACACAGCTCTAAATTCCAGATATAAATTAGTGAACTTAATGGAACTTTTATAAATGCGTATGTACATTTTTGCTAGCTTTCTTCACTAAGCATGTGTTACTTTGCTAAGATATAAAAAATAAAATATTTAGTGATTTTTTTTTTTTAAATGTTTAAAAAGACATTACAACATAAAATACCTGGCATGCTGGGTATTCAGTTTCATAATCACTTTGGAAATGATTTAGAAACTTTTTTTATACTTTCTATTTTTAAAAAATCAGAACTATTTCTCCACACAGAAAATATCTCCCTTTATGGTAGCCCCAAAATTTTATACTGTCTCTATCATTAAAATATTGACAATTTAAATATTCAAATTTCAGGACTTACCGAAAAGGTCCTGTTCTATTAGCAGATCGAGAATCCCCCCACATCTCTTTCTATGTCAAGAAGGCTCCAATAAGTAGATCCTTGTTCTATCAAACTCTGGTTATAGCAGCACCTGTATAAAAACAAAAGACAAAAATTAGTATATTAGAATGAAAAAATCACATTGATTAAGGGCAGGACTGCACAGTTGATTACTGTAACTGCTATCAGTAAGTTGTACACCTGTAAAAAGTTGAACTGGCAAAGGCTGTGTGATAGATATATTTACGATGACCAAAAAAAAAAAAAAAAGGTAGCTACTGAGGCTGCTTATGTACAACCAAACACCTTACAGGATTTGGTTCCTTGTTTGGAGGTTTAGGGTCATGGTTTCATGGGACGTCCCAGTATATTGGCCTAATAAAATGTTTAGTGCTTCTGTTCTACCTCCTAGTTCACTGCGTAGTGCCTGAGGTCTTAAAAGCTTACAAGCAGCCATCCAAGGCACAAGAATTGGCCTATTCACCTGCAGCAACAGAGGAAGGAGAGTAAGGAATAGGAGGAGGATACGGAATGTGTGGCTAACTGCCTCCATGAACAACCAACTGCCTCCTCTGCCATAAGACCAGAAGAACTGGATGGTGCCCGGCTACCATCACTAAACGTTTTGATCGAAGATTTCATAGAAGAATTCTGACCAGAAGAGAGAAAACATAGAACAGAATTTCAAATTCACATGGGGTCTAGACTTTCTGAAGCTGTGGAGGGTAGCTGAACCCCTGAAACTACTGACCTAAGATAATCTTTAAACCTTAAACAAAAAACATCGGCTGAAGTCATCTTAAAATCAAACAGTAGTTTAGCTTAACTAGTAAAAAAAGGACTGCCTTGAGCATTATGCTCTTTTTAAGAACTATCTGTATGGGATCAAACTGACAACAGCAACTCAAAAGATCAAATAGGAACCTTAGAAGGCAGTGAGTTTATGTTAATGAGGGAGGAACAACTCAGAAAAATAGGGTGAGAATGGTTGCACAACTCAAAGAATGTGATCAGTATTACTAAATTGTATAAGTAGAAACTGTTGAATTGGTGTATGTTTTGCTGTGTATAGTTTCAACAACAAAATTAATAAAATTTCGGGAAAAAAACTAGTACACTAGAATATGAACTAGTGGCTAACCTAGTTTTCTTCTGCTTGGCTTATCTGGGACCGAATCAGCAAGGATATTTTTGGAGACCCTTTTAAACATTTACGAATTAAAGTGTAACATGAAAAATAAACTTAATTAAAAATGTGTGCTCTGAGGCACCATAAACTTTTCAAATGTACTATGAATGCTTCACATTTACTAAGTATTTACTAAATCTTCCAGCACCTACTCTTCCTTCCTTTTTGAAAACAGCATCTTAGCGTTAACCCCATCCTTAGTCAACATGGCTGATCCCATATCATCCAGCCTGGGCAATCAGAACAGTCTATTACCCTCACTACAGTGATTGCTCTGAAGATGGGGTATGTGACCCAAGCCAAGCTAAGAAGTCATCCCCAGGACCTTTGTTGTCGCTACTGAAAAAGGGGCCACTTCCCTGAGATCACAAATACTAGGGACCCAGAAAACTTGCAGTTGCCCAGGACACCGTATGTGTCACCTGCAAAAAGACTTTTCCTGAGAATGAACCCAATACACAAGCAAGCAAAACTGAGAGCTGTAAAAACAAGGAGCCAGGGATTAATGAGATTGTTTGCGCCCTTGAATTTAGCCATGCATGAAGCCAGCTTTAACCAACCCCCGCCCGCCCGCCCCCACCCGGACTTTTCAGTTACATGAGCCAACAATTCCCTTCAAGAGTCCTAAATATTTAATACTCTGTAAAAAATGTCTCCAAAATGAAAAGAGACATCTTCTTATTTTACAACTGACCTGAGGCCGAAGCAGGAAAAATTAGTAGAATAAAGCAGTAATTCATTTCTTCCATTAACATGCCCACTGAACCAGCCGGAATTTTGTCTGTATCACTTCTACTATTTTGGCTTCTAAAACGATCATACTTACAACCAAATGGAGGTAAACAGACATATAAGGCTAGAGGAGACATGCTAGGAATCTCTAATTAGGAGAGGAAGTGTCATTATTGCTTATGAAACCATAATGGTCCAGAAAAACACTTGGGCATAAACAAACTGAGGCAGCACAAGAAAGGGTCGTATGTGTAAAATAAACCACTATAGTACCAGAAGTCCCTGAGTAGTGCAAGCGGTTTGCAATCAGCTGCCAACGTAAAGGTTAGCAGTTCAAACCCACTCAGCATTGAGGCAGAAGAAAGGCCTGGCAAACATCTTCCATAAAGATTATAGCCAAGAAAAACTTATGGAGCAGTTCTACTCTCTAACACATGGGGTCACCGTGAATTGGAGTTCACTCAATAGCAATGTGTTACAGTGCCAGTCAATATAAAGAGACAAAAGAAACAAAGTATTAAAAACCAGAAAGGAAGAGGGGAAACCATTATTATTTGCATATAATGATTATTTACCAGGAAACCCCAATAAAACCAATTTAAAATGTCTATAAACAAAATATTTAATAATCAATAGCCTTCATATATACAAACAATGACCAGTACAAAGGCATTGGAAGATCCGATCTCAAGCAACAACCAACCAAAAGATAAACTTAAATCTAAATGAAGCACCTCAAAAAGTTAAACACAGAATTATCACACAACACAGCAATTCCACTCCTGGGTATTTACCCAAAAGAACTGAAAACGCACACTGTCCAAGAATGTTCATAACAGCATTAGTCACAATAGTCAAAAAAAGAGGCGGAAACAATTCAAGTGTCCATCAACAGATGCGTGGATAAACCAAGTGTGATATATACATACAAGGGAATATTATTCAGCCATAAAAAGGAACGAAGCTGTGATACATGCTAGGACATGGATGAACTTTGAAAATGCCCTGCAAAGTAAAATACGCCAGACACAAAAGGACAAATATTGTATGATTCCACTTATATGAAATATCTAGAACAGGCAAATTCATAGAAACAGAAAGTAGATTAGAGGTTACCAGGGACTAGGGGGCAGGGATGGGAGGCTAAGGGGATGAATGGGGAGTTGTCGCTTAATGGGTACAGAGTTTTTGTTTGCGGTGATGAAAATTTTTGCAAGTCAACAGCAGTGATGGTTTCACAACACTGTGAATACAATTAATTCTATTGAATTGTATAGTCAAAAATGGTTAAAACGACAGATTTTGTTACATATATTTTACCTCAATTAAAAAAAAAAATCTAAATGAAGAAAAAAAACTTCCTGAGGGATACAGAAGGCATAAGTTAATGGAGAAATGTATCATGTTCTTAGGCAAGAAGACATTTTAAAGACTGGATTCTACCTAAGTCAATCTATAAATTAATATGATATCTAAAAACAGGGTTAGACTTTTTCCTGCATTAGACAAGCCTACAAAAAAAATAAGGAAGAATAGCTAGAAAGTATTTGAAAAATAATGATCTGAAGAGCCCTCACTGGTCAGAGGAAGAGGTTAATCCTACCATATATCAAAATATATTTTAAAGAAGATACAGGGGCATGGTTTCGGGACCCAGTTTTTAACAATGGATTATCAGATATGACAATAAAAGCATGAACAGCAAAAGAGAAAATAGATAAAATAGGATCTCATAAAAATTTACTGGAATCTCATAAAAATTAAATCCTTTTGTTCATCAAAGAACTTTATCAAAAAAGTGAAAAAAAAACCTACAAACTGGGAGAAAATTTTGGGGAACCATCTATCCAATAAAGGTCTAATATCCAAAATATATAAAAAGCTTCTACCATTTAACAACAAAAAGACAACACAATAAAAAAAAGGGCAAAGAACTTGAACACACATTTCACTAGAGATATTCAAATGCCCAACAAGTATATGAAAAGATGCTCAACGTTATTAGCCATTAGGGAGATAAAAACCAACACTACAATGAGATACCACCTCACCCTCATTAGAACAGCAATCAAAAAAAAAAAAAGAAAACAGCAGGTGTTGGCAAGGTTGTGGAGAAACTGGAATCCTCATTCACTGCTGGTGGGAATATAAAATGGTACAGCTGCTGTGGAAAACGGGTTGGCGGTTCCTCAGAAAGTTGAGCATAGACCTACCACATAACCCAGCAATCCCAATCCTAGGTATAAACAGAGATATACCATGTTCATGGATTTAAAAGACTAGACATTGTTAAGATATCAATTCTTCCCAAACTCACCTATAGGAACACTGAGCATTATTAGCACTTGAATGCACTTGCAGCCCCAGGTTCTTCCGGGGTCTACACCTACCAGAGCATCATCTGACAGACAATCCCCACCTCACTCCCATCTCCTGGGGCATGTGGCTGGGACTTCCTGAGCAGGGCCTGTCCCACCCTGTCCTACACCTAGCCACATGCCCTCTCTCACTCCCACTTCCCCACCAGGGGGCCCATGTCCTCCTAGGTAGAGATTCCAGAATCTCCATCGTGTCATTTGGCCTCTGACCTTCACCTACCTTGTGGTTTCTCCCCAAACAGTACTGGAGGGGGAATGTGAGGATGAGGGTAGCACATGGGGAAAAGAACACTGCCTGTGAGAGTGTGTGCTGAGGTCTGGCTATCCCAGTTCCTACCAGAGTTCACTTTCATTGAATGTGTTTTATCCCCTCCAACTCCCACAGCAGCAATCTCTGAATCCAGGGGCTGAGGGAGATAAAAGTTACAGTATTCTCTCCTCCCTATCCCCTCAGGCTCACAAGGGATCTACAGGTGCATGAGGGGAGGGAGAACCAGACCACTCCCACTGCAGGACTACTCCCAAAGTGAGGTCAGACTCAAGTGAGCCCCAAGGGGTGTCATACCTCCACATTTCCATGAAGCAAAGCAAACACATAGGCTTGGGGGGTGCTGGCAGCTACCCATCACACCCCTCTTGAAACAAGAACCCAAGCATTCTAACAAGTGTGTGAGTCAAGCGCTCACAAGAAAACTCCCATGGCACAAGGATGGTAAAGGCCAGAGTATAAATCCTCAGACCTCTCCAGTCCTTGCAAGTTCACACCACCACTCTCACCTGTGGTGCCAGGGA